TATATGTATGTATGTATATATAATATGTACCAAAGACAACTACGTTGGCGAAACCAATAACCTACCAAGATTTGATTTCACATCAACCACAAAAATTAGGAAAAATGACCCTGACAAAAACCATAGCACACAATATTGATTAATTTACCTCATCATTCTGTTAAGTGCTCTTATTGAGTCTTTTAAAGAGTGGATCAGTTGCTCCCGAAAATTTGGTTTTCATTAGTATCTCTGTTTTTGTTGTAATTCAAACGCAGAACCAGTTATGTTGTTCTTGATTATCGGTCTTTCATTGGTTGGCGTATCTATAGTCACAATTTCTTTTGTCCTCATTATCAAGAAGAAAAAGAAAGTCAAACACCATAGTCAGCAAGAAAAGTGAGTTTTCAAAAGGTATATTTATATACATGATTTTAACAGTTCTTTAAACAATTTTGTAATTGGGTGAATATCCTACTCCATTAATGTTTTAAAGATAAGAAAGGAAAACAACACCTACGCTAAATTAAACCATAACTAAACGGTATTTCTTTTATGTTCTTGTTGTAATTCGATGGCACATTTTATATTAATAGATGATCAGATATATTTCAAATTGATAATATTTTTTACCACATGCACGTAGGGTGACTTTATGAACATGTCCTAGAAGGTCGGCTAATATCCAAAGCGCCTTTTAAATAATGAAAACAAAGTGACGCTTTTAATTTTTTTATGTTTTCTAATTAATTTGTTGTACTTAATTATTTTTAACATTGTTCACTGTATAATCAGTTTTTTTAATGGATTCTGCAGTTGTTACTAATGTTTAAATTACGATTTCTGTTTATATAATTTACTGTGGAAACCAATGAGGTTAATATCCACTTTTAACAAGCTGTATTTTAGACCAATATTTTTGCAAGAAACTAGTTTCTTTTACCCATTTCACACTGATGCTATTTTGAAAATATTAACAACTTGTAACAAGTAACATCACAAGGCCTGTTTTTTCCCCCGAAATCTTCCGAGTTGTTGTTGCGCATGCGTCATGTCCCTATTTTCACCTTTTCGCGGGCTGTGTTTTTTTGTTTTGTTTAGTTCGAACGAATGGCGTCAGCGATGGAAAACATTACTACCATTTGTTAATAGGCCACCTAAAATCAAAAGAAATCTCGCTAAATTTGTCGGAGTAGTAAAAATCACCAGGCTTCGTAAAATACGCCGACAGCGAATCATTATGATGCTTGTCGCACTTATTGCCTCTAACAACAACGGTGAGCTACCTACCGGCGGGCGGCCCGACTGCGCCTAGCAGCCTAGGCCTATCTTTCTCGCCAGCTCGACTACAGCAAGCAAGCTAGGAGTTGAATTCCTTTTACTCTACGAAGGCTAAGGACCATGGAATAATTATATACTCTTGTTAATTCGGTACCAGGCCTAGTTTAGAAGTTGATATGTAATTCGGACAACCTACAACTTAACTAGCCTAGGCCTACTACTAGTGCTACTCTAGGCCTAGTCATTATTCTTCCGAGTTTTCACGAGATTTCTCATGGTTTGAAAGTGCATGTGTGAAACGAACCAAAAATCTCGGAATATCAAACTTGTTACAACTTGTTCATAATTTTTAAAAGTTGTAATATTTTCTGCTAGTGTGAAATGGGTATTAGACACTAGATAAGCACATAATTATAGGTCTCATGACTACTATTTTTTTGTTTCAGGATTGATTACGCCAATATGAATTGTGCTTACGACGGTTATGACAATCAGGAAAATTTAGAAACCAATTACAACTTATAACTTGATTCCAGTCACCAGCTCACTTCTGAAATATAGGTTACCTAATTCATGAAACGTTAAGCTATAGTTTATTGACTAATAGAGTTAAAAAAGAGTATTAAAAAAGTAGATACACAGTTCACGAACTCAAGTAAATTAATGCTGTATAAAAATTATATATAGGTATAGCTCATCCTTCGCATTTCTCTTTGAAGTGTTACGTAGTGAGAGGCGATATCGCCCTATCACTACTCGTACAAACAGGTAACGTTTGGACACATAACGCAGGTGACAGTATCGTATGAGAGGGATGAGTCCGTAGATTATGTTTTGTTTTTTAGTTTAGTGTTTTTTTTTTTTTTGTAATAGTGTCTAAGAGCAAAACCAGGTTATATGCATTTTTATGATGCAAATTACAATAAATATGGAAATGAGTGAATGAAATGAATGAATGAATGAATGATGGTCACGTTAGTCTCTTTATTTTGAACTTACAGACTACCTAAATTCACAAGTTAATAAGAACACTGATATTAATCCCCAGGCCCGCAGGCCAACTCCGACTCGCCGACGATTTTGATTCGGCTCAACATTGCTAAAGAATAAATCATTTTCCGTATTTAGGCCTATAAAAAATATGTTTCTGCTAATTGAAACGCGACCACCTAATCTAGCATTGTTAATAAGAGAAGTGACGAATCCAGGATTTGTGGAATGGTGTTGAAAGAGAAGTTCCGGAAAAGATAGATGCGAACATTGTTTCAGTTTTTTTTGTCTGGATGACTGAATGACCTGAAATGGAAATAAATTACTTTATAATTTGTTTTTATTTGACAAAATGTGTCAATAAAAACGAAACAAAGTACACTTTTTTTATTTGTGACATAAAATTAAATGTCAATTTCAAAGTATGATTGATGGATGTGATGTTAACTCACTGCACGCTTTCGTCGATGTTATCAACAGGAATTCGTCAGGCTATGTGAGCTATGTGCTTCCATGCATCCAAGGCATATCCTAAAAAATAAGGCCTTACACAAACACAAAATTGGGATATATTGCCAACCGGTCAACAGCCTCTGAGAACACCTGGTGCACAGAAAAGATCGCAAAAGGAAACACCTGTGGAGCAATATACAAAATTGGTAGCCGGAACTGCGACTCTGTTTATACATTGGGGAAACATGTGGACCCAATCGTCTGGAGGACAACGAGAACGGACGCGCTATGCCCGTGTCCTGGCTACCGAAACATGACCACACTCCAGGGACGTATTCAGGGGGGAGCCGCGGCTTCCCCCCCCCCCCCCTTGTGCTCCCCCCCCCCCCCCTTTGTACGCAGTGTTAAAATTTTAAAGCTTATTCTTGAGCCAATACAAATTCTTTCCTGGGATCACTTAAAATGAATACTTCTAAACATGTAAATATGCATTAGTACAGGTTATACATAGGCCTAATAGAACACATAAGCCTAAGCGTGATTTTCAAAAATCTTAAATCCATAAATCTCAGGCCAGTTATTTTAAGATAGAAATGCGATACTGTGGTTCAATTTTGTTTTTATCCTTTTGCAATTGCAACAATGATGATGATGACGGTAGTAATAATTGATATTAATATTAATAACAATAAAAAGTGAAGAAAATTGTGATTTGTTGATCAAAATATAGTATATATAGTTAAAGCTTAGTAAGCTATAATTAGGCCTAAGTTGTCCTGGATATTAAGTAGATCCCTAATAAAAGGTCATGAGAAATTTGTTGGCGTTAGGTACTATTTTCTCAAATTCTCTCACCTCAGCCCCAGCCATGGTGGGGCTAAGGTTTTTTTCTATGTTTTTTTTCCTATGGTATGTCACACACACATTAATAAGAATAAGATTTCTATGGTTGTCAAGAATCCCTGATAAAAGATCATCTTTGTTTAATAATACTACTACTAATAGTAATAATAATAATAACAATGATGATAATGACGATAGTAATAATTGATAATAATATTAATAGCAATAAAAAGTGAAGAAAATTGTGCTAAATGCGAAAAAAGAGTTGGTTGACTTGTTGATCATACTATAGTATATATAGTTAAAGCTTAGTAACCTATAATTAGGCCTAAGTTGTTCTGGATATTAAGTAGATTCCTGATAAAAGATCATGAGAAATTTGTTGGAGTTTCATTTTGACTATAATGGTTATGTGATGATGATGAATTTTATTATATAAAAGTGTCATTTCCGGCCATCTCGAGAGGTACTATTTCCTCAAATTTTCTCACCTCAGCCCCAGCCATGGTGGGGCTGAGGTGGTTGTGAAATCACGTTTTTGAAGTAGGCCTATGTAAAATACATACTCAAAGACAATGTTTTTAAGCTTTGTTTTCTATGGTGTATACACACACATTAATAGGATCTCCATGGTTGTCAAAAATCCCTGATAAAAGATCATGAGAATTTCTTTTGGCACTTCATTTTGACTATGGTAATGTGATGATGATGAATTTTACTAAAAGTGTCATTTCTGGCCATCTAGAGGTACTATTTCCTCAAATTTTCTCACCTCAGCTCCAACCATTGTGGGGCTGGGGTGGGTGTCGACTTACAAAATGCCCTCCCCCTCCACCTTCCAAAACAGATCTGTGCTCTTCCCTGGGCATGGACATTAAACTCCACTGAGTCGGCTCCTGATGTATGTCTTAGTGACTGCTGTTTGTTTTTAGGATGTGATCTGGTTTTTCATGTCCATTTTTCGTGATTATTACTATTTCTGGATAAAGAATGTTTTGAGCAGAGGTGGATTCAAGGCACACCCCTTCATTTTTTTAAGGAAAAAAAAGGAAAAATATATTCAAATTGAAGTGCGAGAGTGTAATTTCCGGCCATCTAGTGATGCCCTAATCATAAATTTTCTTACCTCAGCCCCAACCATGGTGGGGCTGAGGTGGGTGGTTCCTCGGTCTGTGAAAGTCCCTCTCTGGTTCACCTTTCTTTCGAATTCCTGGATCTGCCACTGTTCATTTATTATATAATTATTTTTTCGCTTATTTATAATGCGTCTATTGCAATTTTCACTTTATCCTCTCAAACAGTCCTAAGAACGTTCAGTGTGCGCTA